ATTTTAGTTACGATTCCAATGGTGCCATTGCAGATACCATCGTCAAAAAGCTTATTGTTTAAGAACATCACTCTGGCTCCTTCTTGTAAATATAGACGGTTTGGTAAGTTAGTCATAGTTTTGAATTGAGAAATGGAATGATCAGGATGTAACGATTGGAAGTTTAATGAATCTTTAGATTCTGAAATTATAGGTTTACAGGTAGTTTGGTCTAATGGTAGATAGTGAAAAAGTAAATGATTTATATTATGAGCAGCTTGACGGGTGGGTACAATATGAGTTGTGTCATTAGTAGGGGAAATAAGAGGGTTTATCTTAGATGCGATGATGGAGTTTCCTATATTAGATAATTTTCCAATACGTATTTCTTGTAAGACATTATAGAAACTAATGTCATGACGCTGTCTTTGGGGTGTGGTGAGAAAGAGTGGAAAAAATCTTAGCCACGCGGGTGAATGGAAAACAGGAAAAGGGCGTACAGGTGGGAGTTGAGCTAAGTCTCCTATTACTAATGTAGGTATGCCTCCAAAAAGAAGATTATTATTGTGAATCTTTGCAAAGATTTCACTAATAAAAGTAAATAGGTCAGCATCTACCATGGATATTTCATCAATTGCAAGAAAGTCAATTTCTTTTAATTTTAATATAGCATCAGGATTTGAATGAATTAGTGTCTCATATTGGTTACCCCCAAATCTAATTTTTAGAGTAGAGTGAATAGTTTTCCCACCAATATTTTGTGCTGCAACACCAGTAGGAGCCATTAGAAGGTATTTTTTTTTTTAGATATAAAATAATTAATTAATTGAAGAAGTATAAATGTTTTGCCTGTTCCGGCAGAGCCAGTTAAGAAGAAGTAAGGGTATCTTTTATTAGTTGTTTTATCCCATACATTACATAGAAGATTATATGTTTCATATTGTTTGGTGTCAAAAGATAGAAGGGAATGGGAATTAATATGTGGGGTATGTCTTTCCAAAGAAACAAATTGGTTAAATATTAAGGTAGAAAGATCTTGATTTTTGAATTCAGATACAAGAGAATAGATTAGTGAATTATAAGCACTAGATTATTTTTTTGTAGAAGGTGACTATGGCGAATAGAATCTGTTTCAAGAGCAAATCTAATAGAAAAAACAGATTGAAACCTGTCTCTATATGAGGCAAATCCGTTTAATAATTCTTGTTTAGATCTAACTAGGAATTTCATAATAAGGTAAAAAGGGTTCACCATCTTCTATTTTGTAGCTGGTGAAACGTAAAAGAACAGGATTTTTTCTTTGTGAAACTATTCTATTTTTTTGATCTCGGGTATAAAATAATTTTGAATTTGGACCAGGTATTTTAGATCTAAAAGTATAATTTCAAAAGTAATCAGGGTAGGTCATTTCTTGAAAAGAGTCAAGGTTAGGGCAGTCAAAATATTTATCAATAGCATCATCCCAGTAAGGAGTTTCATCATTATTGTCATCGTTATCATTTATGTTTTGTAGGTGGTGGATTGGTTTGACAGATCTTAAGCATAATTCAGAGGGGGCAGAAGGAAGGTAATGAACTGAACCAGAACACTGAGTTAAAGGATATTGTAGTAGAAGAATCATTAATTCTATAGTACCTAGTCATCTTGCCATTACATGTTTTCTATAATCATTAGCTTCATCAATGTCAAATAATTCAGAGGGTTCTGGTTTAGTAATATATTTAGTGATATATTTAGCAAATCCAGTAGAGGTAATATATTGAAAATTAATATGACCTTGCCATACTAATAGTGTTTCAGGATGATAAGGAACAACCATTCTGTCTTCATTTTTAGTATGATGATAAATATAGCATAAAGAATGTTGTGAATAATAAGTTGTATTAGATAAAGGTTGGGGGAAACCTTTAGAACATGAACCTTCAGTAGAAGTTTGGCTATGACATCTATGATCACAATGATGTATTTGGAATTGCAGTACTAAAGCATATAATTCTGGTTCAGAGACTGGATCAGGAAGGTCAGTGCGAATTGTGTTTAAGGAGATTAATTCTGGAATTTTTTTTTCTGTATATACAAATCCATGAGTATGTATAGTTCCACAGTTTTGAAATTCATTACGCTCGAAAAAGTGCTCCCATTTACCCCATCTTGAATGCAATGGATTTTTCCAAAGTTTGTACTAATATTAGATAAGTAGTTACGATAGAATAAGTAAGTATGCAGAGGACGATTGGTGGGTAGAGTGTCTCCATTGTCAGTTTGGTGTAGTATTTCATATAAGTGTGGCCATTTATCCTCAGCCATAGTCATTGTATAAAATATTTGTAGAAGACTATAAGAATTTAACATAGTATTGCTTTTGTTGAAAGAAAGGAGTGGCAGTACAAAGGCTTGAAGGGATTGTAGTAGTTGTAGTTTCATCAATAATATTATGTATACTATAAGAGCTTTTAGCAATTAATTGAGCTCTTGTTGGGTGATATTCACGATTAACATTTTTAGTTGATAGTATGCGGTGATGGTTTTGAAATTTTTTTTTTTCAAGGTTAAGTATGACCAATAAGGCCAATACCAATGGAGGCGAAATCGAGGATCAGGACAGAGGAGACACAGTTTTATATATTTGCCATAACTATCAATCAAAGGTTGAAAATTTAGAAGTTGTTTTATGTTTTCATAATGACCTTGACCATTAGGAAATAGGTCAGGGAACATTAGAGCTTCTAGATTTGGATCATTAAATAAGAGAGGTTTGTTAGTGCTAACTATTGAGCCAGCTATTAGATGACTATAATATGTATCTTCATTGTGAATTTCTTGGGGAAAAGAATTGTTTGGAATAACTAAATCAGGTGGGTGAGGTAAGTTATCAGGAAGATTGCTACAGTAGATATTGGTATGTTGAGTGGTAGTGTTAAGTGATTAGTGTGCTAAAGGCAAAGGAATGGGAATAGGTGTTGTTGGAGAAGGGTAATTGATGGATATACTTGATGCATATTTATGAATAAGAGGATTAGCAAGGTTGAGCCAATTTGATGCAGGAATTAAAGAGTTATAAAACCAATTTGGAGGTTCATTAACATTTAAATAAGACCCAGCTAATCCAGAATACAACTGGAGAGTTCGATAATTATGAGATAAATTGATATTTTCTTGAAGATGACGGTAGTTTGTGTAGCAGTTTGTACCAGCAGAGCGTTCTAATGAGCATTGCATAAAAATAGGAGAAAGGTATTTTCTATGCATCATAGAAACATCATGTATTTGAGAAGGAATATGTGGTAATATTGGAGGATAGCAACATGTTTTTTCATTCTTACATCCATTGCAGACAGCCACTTGTGTAATATTTCTGTTATTTATTCGGGTGCAAACAAGAATGGAAAAAACTTGAGGCATAGCATACGAAGTATTTTCTTTATAAGGTACCCATTGTGCAGATGAGTTTAGCATAAGAATAGAACAATGAGCACAGGGAATACAGGGATGATCAAGTAAAATTTTGGTGTCAAATTGATGTATAAGATGACGAAAGGCAGGGGTTAAATAACAATAAGAATGATTAATATTTTTATTTAAAGGAAAGACAGAATCAGGTATATTAGAAACAGAAGGTGCATTTGTTAAATTTTGATTTATTTCATTTCTAAAAGTATACGGTTCAAAAATAGTATTAACAGGAGATTCAATAGGATTTTTATTGGATTGTTGCGACACTTCGGCAAAAGAAAATAGGCAGAAAGTTTGAATATTATAATTTGACATTATTGTTTTTTTTTTTAGGAAATGAAGGCAAAATTTAAGCAACTATGAAGAGAGATTGGATATTTAAATAAGAAATTATTTAACTCAGATGATACGAGAATCTAAGAGCTGATCGATAGTTTATATAAAAGATTATCTAAACACTAGGTGTTGTAAGTATCAAATAATTAAGTATCAAATAATTAAGTATTAAATAATTAAGTATCAAATAATTAAGTATTAAATAATTAAGTATCAAATAATAGATTAAGCTAAACAATTTTGATAAAATGTTGATGATACAATAGATTTATTTAATTATAAGAAGGTATATATTGATGATAATGTAGGGGTATTTAATAATAGATAGATTAGAAAAATTTATTTTACAATAGGACATAAATAGGTTCGTATAATTAGGAATTTAAGAGAAATTTTAAAGTAGTGTATCGATAACACGTAGTATATATTATAATGCGAACATGAGGAAACTTGTAAATAACATAATAACGATAAAGATTTGTTGAAAAGAACTGCACACATGTGATATAATTATTGGATGCATTCCAGCGCTAATAGCGCTGGATATTCAAACTTTATTAAAGAGTTATAGCATACATTAGTGCGTTTGATGTATAGTTGAAGAGATATATAGCATACATCAGTGCGTTTAATGTATAATTGACAGAGATATATAGCATACATCAGTGCGTTTGATGTATAATTGACAGAGATATATAGCATACATCAGTGCGTTTGATGTATAATTGGCATTAGCCGGTGGTTTCCCACCTACATAAATGCAGGCCGGCTGTTAGCCAGAAGCTTTATAGTCACATGATTTTAGCCGTGGTTTCCCACCTACATAATGCAGGCCAGCTGTAAAGAGATGTTTAAGCTACCACAAAATGGCAGGTTCTACGTGGATTCCAAATGATTAAAACAGTAGAATTCTGCCATTTCAGTCTAAATATGCGTGCTTGCGCACGTTTGATTTGCCTTCAATTTTTTTTTTTTTTTGGTGTTGGTAGCACAGTTGCTATTGTATGCTTAGAATCTGTGTAGTCATTCAATATGTCTGGCATAAGTAATCTGCTTGTAATTTATTCTGATGACGATCGGGTTCCAAAGATTAAAATGACGATCGTTAATCAGAATATACTTGCATTAGTCGCAATTGCCTTCAAAGGGTATGTTCGGATATATTGTGGAATTCATCTGACAACCATTTCCAGAGCTTTGAGCTAAAGGTTCTTGCCATATTAATTCTGTAGTGCTTCAGGGATGGAAAGTATGGCTTGCTACCTTAGCACTTGGTAGGTATGATTTTGAGGTCGTTTATTAATCATTGTTGACTGATCCTGTAACTATAATAAAGTGACTTTCTTAGAATGTATGCCTTATTAGCTGGAAATGTCATGTCGACTTTCAATACATGTACATCGGCTATCTTTGTTGGGTCAATCATCTATATAGGGCGTTCAACTGTCTTATGTTTGTTTAAGGTGTTGTGAACGATGCTGTCTTCTCAAGTTTTAAGACGCATCCTATGTGATTTAATTAACAGTTTCCTAAAGAGTGCTGTGAGTACTCTAGTCTGAATAGCAAGTTGTCAGGATTGTTCGTGCTCAGGTTTGTTTTAACTGCTGATTAGTGGATCGTGGCATGTTTAATTCCATTCCATATGGTTCATTGTCTGTGTATTTGAAACAGATAAAATAGATAGATATGGCATGCAACTCTGGTTAAAGGTATGTTGTGTCGTTTATTACAGTAATCATTGGTGACTGATCCTGTAACCATAATAAAGTGTCTTTCCTGGCATGCATGCCCTATTAACTGAAAATGTCATGTCAACTTTCGATACATGTACGCTGGTCATATTTGTTGGGTTAATAATCTATATTGGTGTTCAACTGTCTTATATTTGTTTAAGCTTATCCTCATATAATAAGTAGCACCTTGTCGGCTTACTGCCTGTGCTTCATTAGTAATTTATGTAAATCCACAGTGATTCCTTACGTATGCGACAAGTTACTCCACAATGCACATGTATTTTGGTTTGCTAACACACTGTTTAACATTCACGTCTAACTTAATGCTTAATGATTTGTCTAAGCCTGTAGACAATTCTTCTTCATAAGATAAACAGCACCAAGTTAACTAAATGTTGTTGCATCTTTTAGTTGATTTCCTAATGACTAATTTAGGCCAATGTTAGGTTTGGTTTTATTGGTTATTTAGTTTTGCAAGTGGATTTTTATATTTATTCGTGCATCATTTGATCTTTTTTTTTTTTTAGTAATTCATTTGATTCTGCAATGATTATTTGTATGTATTTATCAAGTAATAAGTTACTCTGTGACTAACATATTATCTGATTTAATTCTAATGGTTTACTTAAATTTGCAAAAGATTCGATATCTATTTCATCACGCTATCAGTTGACTGCGTTGACTTATTGCACCTGCCTTATCTGACTTGATTTCTAATTCTTCATTGAAATCTGCAAGTGATCTTTATATTTATTCATCATGTGATAAGTTGCTTCACAAGCTCCCCATGTCTATGTATTATTGAGTTTAATTTTTAGTGATTCCTCATTTTACTCATCAAAAAGTGAATGATTTCTTTAATTATGCGAGTAATTCTTCATATTTATTAAATATAAGATAAATATAAATTGCTCCACAACATGCCAATGCAATGTATCATTAGGTGTGATACCTAATGATTTCTTAAACTGTAAGTGATTTGTCACATCTATTCATCATGCAGTGAGTTTCACTACAATGACTTAATGGTAGTGTATTCTTTGTTTCAAATTCAAATTCTAATGATATATTTGAATCTGCAAGGGATTCATCACATCAATTCTTTTTGTGTCGAGCTCCATCACGTTAGCTTAAGCTTTCTTTGGTTCAGCTTCTAGTGATTATCTAATCAACAAGATTCGTCATATCCATTCACTATGCGATAAGTTCCAATATACTGACTTAGTGTAAAAGCATTACTTGATTCAACTTATTCTCATCATATGATACATTGTACCGTTTCGACTTAATTTCCCAAACAGCCCTCTTGTTGTAACTTGCTAGTAGTTGAGATGTCACTCAATCACTTTAATTATTCGGAATTAATTGAGATGATTCTTACATTAATTTGCCAAAATTTTATTATACAAACATATGGATATTAAATTTCTTCCAATTATAATAATTAACCATCCTTAATGTCCATGTATCTTCTAACTTGATTTTTGATGATTTATTTAAGTTTGCAGTTGATTCTTCATAATTGTTCATCATGCGTGCATAAATTAGCATCACACTGGCTCAATGCATATATATCATGTAACAAATATATATCTATATTTTTTAATTATTGTTTAAAACTGCTGTGATGCTTCAAATTTATTAGTCTTGCGTTTTGTTGGATCATGTTAACTTAATATCTATACATCCATAAGCCTGATCTTTATGATTGATTTAAATCTTCTAGGTAGTTCAAGTGCAATTTAATCGGTCTTCAAAATGCACATGCTAATGCTTTTTCTTCTTCTGACCCGAGCCCATTCGAAGTAAAATCTAATGATGCCATTGTGGTGTCCTTGCAAAATACATCTATTAATGCTCCTCCTCCTTAAAGATTATTGTTTCGAATATTTAAATCTTTTAGAGTAGAGTTCTTGCAAAGTGCTTCAACTAATGATTTAATCTAAGTTTTATTATATCTGAGATCTAAGGTTGTTAAGGAAGTGTTTTTGCAAAGCACATTGGCTAATGCATTTCCTACTTCGGATCCAAGTTCTTTACTATTAAGATTCACTGTTGTTAAGAGGTGTTCTTGCAAAGTGCATCAGCTAATGCTTTTCCACCTTCTGATCCAAATTCATTTCCATCGAGATTTAACATTGTTAAGGAGGTGGTCTTGTGAAGTGCATCAGCTAATGCTTTCCCACCTTCTGATCCAAGATTATTCCAATCAAGATCTAACGTTGTTAAGGAGGAGTTCTTGCAAAGTGCATTAGCTAATGCTTTTACTCCTCCGAGTCCAATATTATTACTATTGAGATTCAACGTTGTTAAGGAGGAATTCTTGCAAAGTGCATCAGCCAATGCTTTTTCTCCTTCAGATCCAAGATTAATATTATAAAGATTTAATGTTGTTAAGGAGGAGTTCTTGCAAAGTGCATTGCTAATGCATTTCCTACTTTGGATCCAAGTTCATTACTATTGAGATTCAACATTGTTAAAGAGGTGTTCTTGCAAAGCACACAAGTTTATTACTATTGAGATTCAACAGGAATTCTTGCAAAGCGTATCACTAATGCTTTTCCTCCTTCTGATCCAATTTTATCACTACCGAGATTTAACGTTGTTAAGAAGGTATTCTTGTAAAGCACATCGGTTAATGCTTTTTCTCCTTTGAACCGAGATCATTATTATTAAGATTTAACATTGTTAATGAGAAGTTCTTGCAAAGTGTATTGGCTAATATTACTCCTCCTTCTGATCCAAGATTATTCTCTCGAAAATTCAAATCTTTCAACATGGTGTTCTTGTGAAGTGCCTTTGTTAGTTTGCTTAATTTTAGCAAGCCACATTTATTAGAAAAAAGTCCCAAATCGAAGCACACACATATATATATATATATATATTGATCTTCAGGGCTATGCTGGCTGTTCTCGAAGATTTCTTCAAAAAGTTTTAATGCTTTGAGAAATTTGCCTTGCTCAAAAAATCCATGTGCTTTCTTTTTCAAATTCTCAAGGATATAGCCGTTATTTGCTGATGTATTTGAATCATGTAAGTAAAGTGATTCAGATGTACTAATATTGTCTTGATATCTTGAGGAAATTTCGCTATTCTTAGATAATGTCTCAATAAGATGGTATTAACTCAAAGTTACATCAGGAATAATTTGGGTTTAAAGTATTAAGAATTAATCTTATTTCTGGATGACTAGCAGGATCGCTTTACAATATTTTTGGTAAAGTTCGACATATTGAGATGGTGTCCTTTCTATAGTTTCTTTTCTAGTTTTGTCAGATTTCTTATCACGTTTATATCTATGCTTAATAAGACATTGAGGTTCGATATACGCCGGCATTCCAAAATCTGTAATCTTTGGTTATTTCTGATGAATTAAGATGTTTTTTGAATGAGATCTCTATGCAAAATTGATCTGCCTCTTGAAAGGGCTGCCGTTGTGCTGCCCTACCACTCTTCCATTTTATATCTTTACGTTAATGTCATACGTTCCTGCTAAATTTGGTTATATCGATATTAGTATTCACGCTATAAACTCCTAAATTAGTAATTTCATTAAATCTATACTTATCTTCCTCCTTGCATATACCGGATTCTCTTGTTAGAG